AAACTTTGAACATCATTGGCAAATTATGCAAGTGGTTGAAGAGTTATCATGTTTTTTTAATCTTGTCAAGAAGAGCAGATTGCACGATAGAAAAATTTGAAAATAAATTAAATGTAAGCAATAACCAGCTTTCTATTAGTGGCGTCATTGAGTATTACTAAAAAGATAAAGACCAAGTTCACTATGGCCTTTCGTTAAAAAAATCGAAATGGGGTTTAGGCGGCTACACAATTAATTCGCTCATTGATTGAAAGATGCGGTAAAATTCACTTATGTATGTATAAAACTTCAGAATTCACATTTTGAGCACCACTCTCGTTCAGCACCTGTTTGTTTTATATTTTTAATCTCCATTGGAGAAAAGAAGAAAATCTAATTGAGAGGGAAGGCGGCTTTTTGCGAATCACGCAAGTAAATTTGACGATATGAAAATCCTAAAACAGAGATTTCTTCTCTTTCAAATATGGAAATTCAAAAGTAAGTAAGTCAAAGCTTCAACTGTAACCTACAGAAGACACGATCTCTAAGCTCGATAAGGACTTTATCACTTGAATAAATTTATTTAAAGAGACTGATTTTCTGAAACTAAATTGCAGATAGACTAAGACAAAAAAATTTTTGTTCAACAATTTCAAGGTCTACTCACTATGAATGCGTACTGAACAGAATGAATTGAACGTAAGGGAATATCCCCTTGTTTGTTGAATATTTTGAATATGCGGGTATGGCACTCTCTTAAGACACAAATTAAAAACAAAAGAAGAACATGATCTGCCTTTTAAGAAACGACAGATTACTACTGTCTTCGGGGAAACTCAAAGCGTAGGCAAAAATTTGTGTATACAACAATTGAGCCGTTTTCTGAAAAAGGCCAGACAATGAAAAAATTTCACAAAACGCGCAATTGATCTCGCCTAAAAAGATAGACTGCAGAAAAACAAATAAATGGATTTAAAAGAAATTTTGTAAAAAAAAGCAAATATTACAGTAACAATATTATTCAGCTCTAAATGTCAGGCTTGTGCGCTTTTTCCTTTCCTTACCTTAATAGAAACAAAGACAATTAATACATATTGTACAGCTACAAATTATACGCAC